GCAGATGGGCTCGCCAGTGCGACCACTCTCTGGACTCTGGTACCTGGCTGCTGCACCCCCAGTCCCAGCCCCACCTGCCTTGGCCTACATCTCCTCGGCTCCCATCATGCCTTACCCACCACCCACTGTGTGAGTCCTCCCTTCCAGCTGCCCCAACCTGCCTAAGTACCTGCAAAAGCCAGCATGCTTACATCATGTCAGAGGGCTGTGAGCCATGGATAGCGCCTTCCTATCATTTACTCATGTGGACATGGAGTGCAAGCCTGACATTCTTGTAGTCACTCACCAAGCCCTGCGGGGGGTGGGGGGGAGACTGCTGGGTGCTGGTATCCCAGTGGTAAAGTAGACGGGCAAGAGGGCCCTGTCTCTGGGAGTTACAGCTTTCCAGGGACCTAGAATCCTAGCCATCTCCCTCTCCTAGAGAGTAACCTGGTGTTAAGGACTTTATTTTTTTTTAAACAGTAGTATGAATAGTTTCTATTTTTTCCCTTCTTTTTTTAAAAATTGACTTTCATTAGTGGAATGGCTTTAGATTTAGGAGAATTGTGTGGACACTACACAGTTCTCCTGCACACACGCCTCCCCACATCCTGTTCCGATGTCTTTGTTCATACACACTCTGTTGGTATATGTTCCTGCCAGAGAACCAACTCCAATACTTTAGTAGTAGTCGAAGCCTGGGGTTTTCCTCTAGCATCCTTGGTTTGTGTCTGAAGCCATTTTCTATCCCGGGGTATCATCCAGGATCCCCTACATTTAATTGGGGCTCCTCTTGGTTGTGTCAGCTGCTCCATATTGCCCTGTCTCATGGCTGTGGCATGCAAGGGCCACCAACTAGATGGGTTTGAGACGGAACACTACCTACCAAGAAGTGAAGAGCGGGCCTGGTGGCCTGGTGACATTTCAGTGTCAGACATGACTGTACAGGAACACCCTCTCCTCTCATCACTGCTGTGGCTGAGGCAGAGGAATGTTTCTGTAAGTCTCAGTTTCTCTCTCTGTTCAATGGGGGAGTGGCTCTGCCAGGTACTGTTGTGTGAGGATTGAGTGACACTTGTCAAGACCTCACTTGGGAGTTTGTGGAGACTTTTCTGTGATTCTGAGAAATGTCATGACTGGTTTAATGACACCTTGGCCATGTCTCCAGACCCCCTTCTAGCCTTAACTGTCACCAGCTACTTCTCAGCCTCAGTTTCCCCCACTGTAAAGTGAGTCAGTTGAAATGCAATGTCACCAATAGACAGCCTGCCTCTGTGATTGTGTGTGTGTGTGTGTGTGTGTGTGTGTGTGTGTGTGT